GACGTGTGCTCTTCCGATCTACGATTCTCCAACTTTTTCAAGCCGTCCGAATAGTATGATTTGTCCAACCCTTCAAAATAAACCTCTGTTTCGGCGATGAGCTGCTCTCTAGTGGTGAATCTCTTTTCTCCGAACCATTTCTTTCGGTTTGGTAACAGGAAATAGTCGCAGGGAGCTAAATCTGGCGAATATGCTGGATGAGGAAGCAATTCGTAGCGGAATTCGTTGAATTTGGCCATCGGTGCTGGGGTCACGCTTATGGTCCACAGTGAGCAAACGCGACATCCATCTTGCCGATAGCTTTTTTATACCCAATTGTTCGTGCAAAATTGAAATCACTGTGCCATGTGATATACCTGTGGCCTCTATAAGCTCGCGCACTTTCACTCGTTGATCAGTCAAAACAATATCGTGGACTTTATCGATGATTTCTAGCGTATCAGCCTCAATTGGACGTTCCGAACGAGATGCATCACATGTAGATGTACGACCACGTTTAAATTCATTCACCCAATTATATACAGTCAAACGTTGGTGCATATGAACATTATCCAATTCGGCTTTGATTTCTTTCGGCATTAAATCTTTCATATGTAGATCTTTGATCACTGCACGAAACTGGTTTTTTCCATTTTGCAAAAAATACAAAGGTTATTCGCTTTAATCGTCTACAGAAATGAAACCACGCGATGAATTCTGCACAAAAATTTTACAGTAATCAGCTGAAAGATGCTACTTGTCAAAAAGTAATGTGACATGACACTGCAAGTGCTCTTTGACAGATTTTCTAAGAACTTGTTGACTTGCCCTCGTACAGTACGACTTTGCATAGTATTAATATCAAAAGTTTGATACAACAAGTTTGTTATGCAAATACGGTTATATTAGTGCATGAATTTGTAACAAATCTATGGCTGTATTTACTTTAAGCTTTGGATACTTTATTTAGCTAAGCGGTTTTCAAAACAAAAGATAATCTTAAGTTTAAGTTGGCAGTTTTGATAAAATGTAGAAACACTTTCAATAAAACTTTACATAATATATATTCTATATAAAATTAAAGTCAAAAAGAAAAAAGATTTACCTTGAATAAAAGTCGCGATCTCAGAAAATAACATCTGTTATATTATATGTTATTTCTGTGTCATACAGCAGTTAATTTTGTGTTTGCTGGGGTATTTGTCTTATGCTCGATACTTATTGTTAGAAGTGATTCCTGAATCAGCATAGTATCTAGACAATTACTTCAATATTGAAGGATATTATGATGGTGATGACACTGAAAACTAAACTACATAATGATAATTTATATCGAACTTTTTAAACACACACACACACTAAGTATCGAGCATAAAACAAATACCATATAATGGTAGCAATATGCGAACAGTAATTAAAACTACATAATGATAATTTATAACAAACTTTTTAAACACATACACACACACACACACACACACACACACACACACACACACACACACACACACACACACACACACACACAAGATTGAATTCCCATTTCGATATGATTTCCACGTAAAGAGTGTTTATTTTAATAAATTTTCGATAGTTTTAATGCAAACGTCACAAGTTATCACTGACTGACACAGATCAAATAATTAATTAATTTTATGCGCGCGTGTAACAGTCAGCTGATCGTCGCGACGGTCCCACGTACCGCCTACCGTCAGACAGTAAGTTGCACCACCCCTGTCTACCTTCCGTACGCGGCCCGTAATTCTAATTATTTCTCGTTATAATTTGAAAACTAAGCTTCGGACAAAATTTTTGTAAAGGAAAAATCGTCTTAGAATTAAATCAAGAATACGTTTTTACAAGGACGCGGGATTGTTCTGAATCACCCTGTATAAGTATTATCTGTATTAACATATGTGGGATATTTACCTTAACTCATAATCAGTATATAATAATATACTTTGGAGAAATAAATAAATATTCTTAAAACATACTAAGACTTTACTGAGAATAATTGATAATTATGCACAAATATATAGAGAGAGACGGAAAACGTACTTTGAATATGCTTTAATACGCGCAATTCGTATAAGAAAGCATTTATATCCTCGTGAACAGATCCTTTGCAACATTTTTTATTTTATGAGTTTAAGAATGCACATTTAAGGAGGATTGGTAAAATGACCAAATATTTGTGTAAAGCGATGAAACCTTTCTTATGCATGTTTTCTTATGTTTTTTGATGCTGAATTATTTGCAAACGTTAATTTTAAACTGATATGATGAAAAAATGTTGAAAATCACAAAGTAGCAGTTTCGTCAAAATCTGAACAAAAATTCAAGAGTATGTAATACTTTCTTATCTTCTTTTTCTCTTTCTATCACCTTCTATCTCACTCCTCTACTCTTACTTCTAGCATCATCCATTCTGACATCGCCTAATCTTACCTAATTCAATCTAACAACACCCAACCTGTCCCAACTCTACTAGTAGCATGATCTAGGACCAATAACAGGCGTGGCGGTTATCAAATCCCGTGTATGTGTGTGTGTATATGTTTAAAAAGTTCGTTATAAATTATCATTATGTAGTTTTAACTACTGTTTGCATAAAATTGCTATCATTATATGGTCCCAGCAAACACAGATATATAACTGTTACATTATCTCCATAAATTAGAATGTAACAGAAAATATAACGTTTACGTTATATACAACATTCACGTTAGTTGTTATTTGCCACTCATAGGATGTTGCAATTACACAATATAAATGTAACATGTAATTTGCTGCGTTACATTACTGTAATGATATTATTACTGTCATTGTAATTTTAACTTAAGATTTATCTTTTGCACATACAAATCCCAAAAAGATCCTAAAATTAATTCTAAGCGAATTTAAACGAAAGTTTGTTTTATTTAGTTTTGCTTAGAATTAATTCAAGGATCTTTTCTGAGATTTGTATGCAAGTGAAATTTAATCAATTCAATATGATATGAGGGCAAGTCAATAAGTTTTTAGAAAAATATAGTAAAACACATTTTTTT